ATAATATATTTTATTTTATATGGATTAATTTTTAATATTTTTATAATGAAAATTTGAATAAATTTATTATAATAATCTCCTTACTATAATTTACTATATATATATACTATAATACTTGTTATTTGCACATAAATTAATAAGTAATAATTATAATTTTTTGGAGTATTATATATTATCCAAAAGAATGTGTTAATTAAAATCTATTTGGATTTTATGTATAAAAATTACTATTAATCAATTATATAAATATCAATTTAATATAAATATAATAATATAAATATGATAATAATAATGAAGAAAATGGAAATAATTTTTTATTAACAGGATGCAGAGCAATGTGGTCAAGTAATGGCTGGTGGTGACAGTATGCGTATACAACCTGGTCAAACGCATCAAATAGGTGTGAACAGAACTCAAGATGATGCTATGGTGGGTTATGTATTTCAACGACCAACAGAAGCAGAATTTAATGCTCAATCTTCAACATTTCAAACAAAACAAGCACCTCGTGCTTGGGCTCTTGCAGATGATGCTATTATTGATAATGTAAGTAAACTAAACATTTAAAATCAAAATATATTACATGTACAACATACACATACACAATTGTTTAAAAAAATTATTAAATTTGTATTTCAATACTTTGAAAGAGTAGACAATAAATAAATAATTTTATAAATAAATATATATCTATTTTTTTATTTCATCGTTTAAATAATTTCTAGAATCCAGAAAAATGGAAATATCCCATTACTAAACTGAGTGTACCACAACAGAATCAACCTCAACAATTAGGTCTACAAACTATGAATAATGTTCATCTACCTTATGAAATCCATCCAATGCAACTTAAAGTAAGTTATATATTTCTTAATATTATTATTAATAGAACAAATTTTTTTTTATTTTGAAATTTGGAAATTAATAGTTACATTTTTTATGCCGCACAGAGTGGAGCACCAGGAACAGAACATTTAGTTTATCTTAATAATCAAATGACAGCACAACAACAAGTTGCTCTCTTTCATCATCAACAGCAACAACAACAGCAACAGTTCAGGAATGGCCAGGTAAGCATATTTCTTATGAATTATTTTAATATTTTAATATTTTTAATAATAGTAAAAAATTATAAATAGATTTGAAAATAAATCTGTTGAATACTAATATTTTTTTTTAAATGGATAAATTATTTTTATTAAATTATTAATAAATTAAACAATATATATAAATATATATAATATATATAGATATATATTTAATATATATTATATATATTATATTATTTTATATATTATATA